TATTTGGGGAAAAATGGCCGCTCCCTGACTCCCAGAATTTTAGTTTTTATTATTTTATTCAGTAACGATACATTTTCTTAAATCACCGCAAACGTATTAGTTTTAGGTATAAATAATGATCCATTGATTATTTCTCGCTGACCAAACTTTTTTATCAATCAGGTTAATCAGGCTTCTTAAACGATTTGGAGGGAACTTTGCTGTTTTCTCATGTTTTTCTAATTTTATTAGTTCTAAGTTCTCTTTTTCAGACTGATTGTTACGATTTTCCTTCCTTTTTAATTGCTGTTTCAGATCATTTTAGGCTTTCGTCTGGAGGGAGGAGCAAAAACGCGTTTCTATTGCCGGACGTTAGAAGCAACGTTTCTGTCGAGAGCAGATTTACAGTGTAATCTGAAATTAATGCAGTTCGTAAAAAATTTATCTGACAAAGAGGAAGTTGAAAGCAAACAGAAAAAAACAGCCAAGTTACTCTCAAAACCTTTTTTATTATTATTATTACATTTTCACTCCTGGTTTGCATTTTTTTCTAATATTAAAACTTGTTCTTTGCAACAATAGTTGAAGAAAATTCATTCCATAAATATTTTCCTCTTTTATCCAATCAAGAATCAGTTCTATTATCAACCATCTATCTGCTCATTCTAATTATTCTACAGAAGAGATTATTTCAAACAGTCACAGATGCATGAAGTTATTTGGAGAAACTTTAAATGAGCTCTGGATGGTTCTAAAAACAAATCAGACATGGGATGATAATAGAAGGAAGCGGGGATTCTATCATTATTCTCTATTTATTCTGCATAAGCATTGCTAATGGGATCTAATTTTATTTTCTAGACCTAAGAAGGCTGTTTTTGATGAAGGGACCTGAATGGAGACAGTAAATGGTGATTAATGGATGCTTTAAAGGAACCAAACTAATCAGGTTCATGTAGCACAGAGTGTCCAGGATGACGCCAGGTCAGGGAACATCTGGTTTATTTAGACTCCATTAATTCCTCAGAGGTCATCTCAGGACGCTTCTCTCCTCGCTGGAACCTGCAGCCGATAAAATGCCGGCGTCTCCGTTTTAAATTTAACTACAAAAACTGAAGGCTGGAAACACGGAAAGTTTATATGGAGCTAGACCTCCATGAAGGAGGAGAGGAGAGGAGA